GCTCTGACTTTAACATAGCTATTTCTGTGACCAGTTACTAGCTAATCACTAAACTATTTAAATGCTAAATCCTATGCTAATTTCCTTTGTCGGGGGGCACCTCTGCGGATGTGTATACTTTGACTTGGCTATTTCAATGAGCCATTTCAATGCTAATTTATATGCTAATTCTTTTGTCAAAGCCCGTGGTCTTCTTCTTCTTCCTCTCACACAGCTTAAATGTCGCGATCTAGGCGTGGCTTCTTCCACTCCAGCGCTGTCCTCCAGACAGGCTCGTCCCTTCACCTGATGAAGGCCGCTTGTGTTGTGGCCGAAACGTCGTGATTATTGTTGTTTTATTATTTACCTACGTGACTTTACCGAATAGAACCAAAGAGTACAATCCCCTCAGTTACAATCCCCTCAGTTACAATCCCCTCAGTTACAATCACCTCAGTTACAATCCCCTTAGTTACACTCCCCTCAGTTACAATCCCCTCAGTTACAACTCAGTTACAATCCCCTCAGTTACAATCCCCTCAGTTACAATCTCCTCAGTTACAATACCCGCAGTTACAATCCCCTTAGTTACACTCCCCTCAGTTACAATCCCCTCAGTTACAATCCCCTCAGTTACAACTCAGTTACAATCCCCGCAGTTACAATCCCCTCAGTTACAATCCCCTCAGCTACAATCCCCTCGGTTACACTCCCCTCAGTTACAATCCCCTCAGTTACAATCCCCTCAGTTACAATCTCCTCAGTTACAATCCCCGCAGTTACAATCCCCTCAGGTACACTCCCCTCAGTTACAATCAGTTACAATCCCCTCAGTTACAATCCCCTCGGTTCCAATCCCCTCAGTTACAATCTCCTCAGTTACAATCCCCGCAGTTACAATCCCCTCAGTTACACTCCCCTCAGTTACAATCAGTTACAATCCCCTCAGTTACAATCCCCTCAGTTACAATCTCCTCAGTTACACTCCCCTCAGTTACAATCCCCTCAGTTACAATCCCCTCAGTTACAACTCAGTTACAATCCCCTCAGTTACAGTCCCCTCAGTTACAATCCCGTCAGTTACAATCCCCTCAGTTACAACTCAGTTACAATTCAGTTACAATCCCCTCAGTTACAATCCCCTCAGTTACAATCACCTCAGTTACAATCCCCTCAGTTACAATCACCTCAGTTACAATCCCCTCAGTTACAATACCCTCAGTTACAACTCAGTTACAATCCCCTCAGTTACAATCCCCTCAGTTACAATCCCCTCAGTTACAATCCCCTCAGTTACAACTCAGTTACAATCCCCTCAGTTACAATCCCCTCAGTTACACTCCCCTCAATTACAATCCCCTCAGTTACAATCCCCTTAGTTACACTCCCCTCAGTTACAATCCCCTCAGTTACAACTCAGTTACAATCCCCTCAGTTACAATCCCCTCAGTTACAATCTCCTCAGTTACAATACCCGCAGTTACAATCTCCTCGGTTACAATACCCGCAGTTACAATCCCCTTAGTTACACTCCCCTCAGTTACAATCCCCTCAGTTACAATCCCCTCAGTTACAATCCCCGCAGTTAGAATCCCCTCAGTTACAATCGCCTCAGCTACAATCCCCTCAGTTACAATCCTCTCAGTTACAATCCCCTCAGTTACAATACCCTCAGTTACAATACCCTCAGTTACAATCCCCGCAGTTACAACTCAGTTACAATCCCCTCAGTTATATTCCCCTCAGTTACAATCTCCTCAGTTACAATCCCCTCAGTTACAACTCAGTTACAATCCCCTCAGTTACAATCCCCTCAATTCTAGATTTGAAGCTTTCGTGACTGCAAGGATCCATACTCTTTGGTTCTATTCGGTAAAGTCACGTAGGTAAAAAAATAAAACAAAAATCACGACGTTTCGGCCCCAACACAAGTGGCCTTCATCAGGTGAAGGGACCAGACTGTCTCGAGGACAGCGCTGGAGTGAACACAGCCACGCTCAGACCGCGACCTTTAAGCTTGTGTGAGAGGAAAATTATATCATGATCACCCGATACCAAGGTTCTTTGCAAACCCACGGGTTTTTATCAGAGATTTGTTCACGAGGCAATTCAGATTTACAAACACAGACACAATTTCAACCGAGAAGATGGTTTCAAATTAAGCAACCATTGGAAAGATGTTCTAAATCATACCAAACATTAAACTAAGTTTCAATGGTACTTTATATTTTTTCAAGTAGTGGTATCCCAAACTTTCGCAGCTGCTTAAATTTCCTTTTCACACCATCAATATGTAAACTCCCCCTCCCACCCTCGCCGACCTGCACATGTTCACCCCTCTACACCGTTCACCATGCTAAGTCCGCCAATTGAATGCTAATTTTTTTTAATGCTAATTCCTTTGTCAAGGCACCTTAATTCCTCTCACACAAGCTTAAAGGTCGCGGTCTGAGCGTGGCTGTGTTCACTCCAGCGCTGTCCTCGAGACAGTCTGGTCCCTTCACCTGATGAAGGCCACTTGTGTTGTGGCCGAAACGTCGTGATTTTTGTTTTATTTTTTTACCTACGTGACTTTACCGAATAGAACCAAAGAGTACAATCCCCTCAGTTACAACTCAGTTACAATCCCCTCAGTTACAACTCAGTTACATTCCCCTCAGTTACAATCCCCTCAGTTACAAGTCAGTTACAATCCCCTCAGTTACATTCCCCTCAGTTACAATCCCCTCAGTTACAATCCCCTCAGTTACAATCCCCTCAGTTACAACTCAGTTACAATCCCCTCAGTTACACTCCCCTCAATTACAATCCCCTCAGTTACAATCCCCTTAGTTACACTTCCCTCAGTTACAATCCCCTCAGTTACAATCCCCTCAGTGGTGTGGTCCTCACTGCCCCGTGCTGGGGGGTCCCCCAGAGCTCCCCGCTGGGCCCCGTCTCTCCCTCTCCGTGGTGGCGGCACGCGGCCCTGCGCTGGCACGGACTCCCTGACCCCACCCCATCGCCCACTCTCACCCGCTGCCTTCACAGGCAAATGTTCACGGTGAAGTCCTCCTCGGCGGGAAAGACTCCGCTGCGAGCGCGCTCCTCCTAACCAGTGACAAGGCACTGGGATAGAGGGGGCAGAGCCTTAGATCGCGTTCTGTTCTCTACACACAAAGCGCCACTCTGCCAGATGCCTTGCCTCCAACACTCCCTAACCCCAGTGGCTGCTGAGACACTCAACCACCTCTACCCATCCTCACCCACCGTCACCATCACCCACCCTCACCCATCCTCACCCACCATCACCCACCCTCACCCACCATCACTCACCCTCACCCACCTTCACCATCACCCACCCTCACCCATCACCCATCCTCACCCACCCTCACCCATCCTCACCCACTCCACCCACCATCACTCACCCTCACCCACCTTCACCATCACCCACCCTCACCCATCACCCATCCTCACCCACCCTCACCCATCCTCACCCACTCCACCCACCATCACTCACCCTCACCACCCTCCCTCACCCATCCTCACCCTCCCTCACCCATCCTCACTCTCACCCATCCTCACCCACCCTCACCCACTCTCACCCACCATCACCCTCACCCATCCTCACCCTCCCTCACCCATCCTCACCCATCCTCACCCACCCTCACCCACCATCACCCTCACCCACCATCACTCACCCTCACCCACCCTAATCCATCCTCACCCACCCTCACCCTTGTTCATGTTTTTTGTTTGTTGCAGTTGCACCCGATTCAAGAGCCGAATGGCTCACAGGGCTATACCAAAATAAATGAAACTGAAACACCCTCACCCACCCTCACCCTCTCCCACCCTCACCCACCCTCTCCCACCCTCACCCTCACCCACCCTCACCCACCCTCTCCCACCCTCACCCACGCCTTCACCGCTTCACGACTCGACTACTGCAACTCTCTCTACCTCCTTTCTGAACTCCTCATCCACCACACCGCTGGCTCCCAACCCAATCCCAGATCGATCTCCAGATCACACCCACTCTCTTCAAGATCCTCCATGGACTCACTCTTATAATCCTTGCCCCCCTCATCTCACTCTACTCCCAGTCACGCACTCTCTGCTCACCAACAAGGCCTTCCGTTGAAGCCCCCAGTCAACATTTGCAAAGTGGGAGGCTGCTCTGTCCTTTGCCCCAGGGTCTGGAACTGCGTTCCCCCAGACGTCCGTACTGTCAACCCCATGTCCAAGTCCTGGCTCCAGGCCCTCCTCTCTTTCTCTGCCCACGTGTGACGATCTCTTAGTCTATTAAACTCTACTCTCCCCATGATGCACACGAGCGCCACTTGGTTGTTAGCGTCTGCAAGCCGTTACATGCAGGTGCCGTATACGGCGATCGTATTGCAGGGAGCGCGCAGACACCATCCGGACATTTGTAACACATTCACAGAACGTACCATTCCCCTGTGGAGGCCAGGCCTTCAAACAACTAATACATTCCTAGTCACACGGCCACCAGCACCAGTGACGATTATCTGAACCGGTCCTGGGCCTCCCCTAGGTCGACTCAAAATGAGTACTTGGTGCGGTGTGCGAACATCTCCACTAGGGAGACAAAGGCGGCCGGGCGTGGTGCTGGCACCACCCCCTCGCGTGCCATTCCAGCCTGCATAGGTGCTCGCAAACAGCACTTGCGCCAACAGTCTATTAAGGCTATACGGGGATCTTTGTCTTTGTGAGTACCAGTGAGTGAGTGTCAGTGAGTGGCTCTATCCCGTCTCACCCAGACTACACGCTCGAGTGGGGAGACATCGCTGTGAATCTCACAGTCACAGTGAGTGTCTCAGTGAGTGAGTGTGAGTGCCAGTGAGTGAGTGTGAGTGAGTGCCAGTGCATGAGTGTCAGTGAGTGAGTGACGCTGTCCCGTCTCACCCAGACTACACGCTGCAGAGGAGACATCGCTGTGAATCCCACTGTCACAATGAGTGTCTCAGTGAGTGAGTGTGAGTGCCAGTGAGTGAGTGTTACTGTCCCGTCTCACCCAGACTACACGCTTGAGTGGGGAGACATCGCCGTCCACCCCGCACGTCGCTCCGTGCAGAAGTGGCCCAAGGCCAGGGACGGCCTAATCTACATCCCCTACAAAGTGTCCGTCGCCTTCTGTGAGTGGCCTCGCCTCCTCCTCCCCCTACTCATTCCTTGTTCCACCTGTGCCTTGTTACACCTGTGCCTTGTTACACCTGTGCTTTGTTACACCTGTGCCTTGTTCCACCTGTGCCTTGTCCATCCTGTGCCTTGTTCCACCTGTGCCTTGTCCATCCTGTGCCTTGTTCCACCTGTGCCTTGTCCATCCTGTGCCTTGTTCATCTTGTGCCTTGTTCCACCTGTGCCTTGTCCATCCTGTGCCTTGTTCCACCTGTGCCTTGTTCATCCTGTGCCTTGTTCATCTTGTGCCTTGTTCATCTTGTGCCTTGTCCATCCTGTGCCTTGTTCCACCTGTGCCTTGTTCATCCTGTGACTGTAAGGTGACGAGATTGAGGGCAGAGTTCACATCAACAGAGTGGCTCTTGTCTAGAATTAAGCGCAGGGCCCAATGTAAATCAGGATGTAAATTATCATTCAGATCTGTGCTTTGTGTGGATTGATAATCACGTGACTGGGCATGGAGGTGGCTGTGGAAAACTGGTGGTGAGCGGAGAGTCAGGGGACAGGGTTTGACCCTGAAGAAGAACCCCAACTCGATGTCTTAGTCTCTGCGAGATGTCGCCTGGTTACTTGAATCAGCGTGAGAATCAAGCCACATTCCCCGAGTGCTGAATGATTTCGATTTAAAGCTTTCGTGACTGCAATGATTCATCTTCTTTGGTTCTTTCGGTAAAGTCACGTAGAATGAGAATAAAATAATAAATTGATAAAATAAAATAACACAATAATATTCCCATTGTTAAAACAATGGGTGCCTCTGCGGATGTGTATGCTTTAACTTTTAACATAGCTATTTCTGTGACCAGTCACAAGCTAATCATTCAGCCATTTCAATGCAAAATTTTATGCTAATTCCTTCGTCAAGGCTCTTTGTTCCTCTCACACAGCTTAAAAAGCCGTGATCTGAACGTGGCTCTCTCACTCCAGCGCTGTCCTACCAGACAGTCTCGCTCCCTTCACCTGATGAAGGCCGCTTGTGTTGTGGCCGAAACGTCGTGAGAATATTATTGTGTTATTTTATTTTATCAATTTATTATTTTATTCTCATTCTACGTGACTTTACCGAAAGAACCAAAGAAGATGCTGAATGATTGACGCTCCATTGAAATAGCTGCAGCAAAACGAGGTTGCTGATTGACATTTTACTAATGGTCATCCTAAGGGAGAAAGATGGAACCATAACTCATTATTGATACAGAATCTGAAGATTAGTGGAGGAATTCTCTGCAGCTCTCTATAGGAAATACATCCACATATCCCAGGAACCAGACCGACTCTCAGATGAAGAGGACACACAGATCTAAGTGTCTACATACACACGGCTTCATCACGCACAGAGGCCTGTAACCAGGCCTCGAGTCTTTGACTTAGATCGGTCGTGACTCGTGATACACGCATGGCACCGTGCGTGTAGAAGCCAGTGACGTGCAGCGCGTACCCAGCGTGCGTGACTGTGATGGGAACGCCGCATTGGGGCCAATGGAGCAGAGGAGGCGGTGCACATGACACGGAGAGCGCAGAGTGGCGCTAGGGAGCCTCGCGTCGCCACCGCGGATCGTGGAGATTCCTCGCGTCGCCAGGCGAGGGCCCGCGTTGCCGAGATTTCACTCACGCAGGGACTCCGCTCCGGACTTTATCTGGAGCAGTGCCGCTCACTAAACACAGCTTTATTAGACATTAGAAGGGATGCATACCTATGTTTGTTCTTTAGCTGCTGTCAGAAACATGTAGTGGGAACCAAGCGAATGAGTGTTAAGTCAATAAGCCACACGTGACAGATGCTATCCAGTCAAAGGCAGTGGTAACCGTGATGCTACTCTAGAACAACCAGTAGATTGCAGCACCTGACCCACAGTGGCCATGAAAGAGAAGCAGCTCTCGCAGAACGGGAAGTTACTCTATCAACTCAAATAAAGCGGCGCCGTGGTTTGAATGAGCGACGCCTCCTGCTGCTGAGTGGAAGCGCAGGGAGAGGCGGCGGTGGCGGCCGTGGGGTCGAGACGGCGGAGCGGCCCCCAGGCCCTCCCCAGGGAGCCCAGCGCTACCACCACTCACGCTCCACCCCACGCCGTGCCACCCACTGTGGCCCCCACTGTGCCACCCTCTATGACCCACGCTCCACCTCACGCCGTGTCACCCTCTGTGCCCCTGTTCATGCCCCACACTCCACCGCACGCCGTGCCCCACGCCGTTGGCTGTGCTTGGCTCTCGCCGTGAACTCCTCTCGGTCACGCCGGCCCCGCTTCTCACACCCGGCGAGTGACCTGCAGATAATGGCGACATCAAGAAGATCGAGGAGGCGGCTCTGGAGTTTGAGAAGAAAACGTGCGTCCGGTTCATCCCTCACTCTGAAGAGGCCGACTACATCTACATCCATGCACGGGAAGGGTGAGATACGGAGACACGGACACTACAGTGACACGGATACTACAGAGACGGATACTACAGAGATACGAACACAACAGAGACACAAACACTAAAGTGACATGAACACGACACGAACACGGACATTACTGAGACACGTACACTACAGAGACTCTGACAGGATAGAGATACGGCCAACTACAGAGACACAGATAGGATAGATACATGGCTAGTATAGAGATACAGACACGACAGAGACACGGACACTGGAGAGACACTATAGAGACAAAGACACAGACAATACTCTGTGTGATGAGTGGTGAGTGAATGGGGCTCGGTGCTCAGGCTGGGGTTGTCTCTGAGTGGTGAGTGGTGAGTGAATGGGGCTCTGTACTCAGGCTGGGGTTGTCTCTGTGTGGTGAGTGGTGAGTGAATGGGGCTCGGTGCTCAGGCTGGGGTTGTCTCTGTGTGATGAGTGGTGAGTGAATGGGGCTCGGTGCTCAGGCTGGGGTTGTCTCTGAGTGGTGAGTGGTGAGTGAATGGGGCTCTGTACTCAGGCTGGGGTTGTCTCTGTGTGGTGAGTGAATGGGGCTCGGTGCTCAGGCTGGGGTTGTCTCTGTGTGATGAGTGGTGAGTGAATGGGGCTCGGTGCTCAGGCTGGGGTTGTCTCTGTGTGGTGAGTGGTGAGTAAATGGGGCTTGGTGCTCAGGCTGGGGTTGTCTCTGTGTGGTGAGTGGTGAGTGAATGGGGCTCGGTGCTCAGGCTGGGGTTGTCTCTGTGTGGTGAGTGGTGAGTAAATGGGGCTTGGTGCTCAGGCTGGGGTTGTCTCTGTGTGGTGAGTAAATGGGGCTCGGTGCTCAGGCTGGGGTTGTCTCTGTGTGGTGAGTGGTGAGTGAATGGGGCTCGGTGCTCAGGCTGGGGTTGTCTTTACAGGAATTGGTCGTTCCTGGGCCGTCAGGGCGGGGACCAGGCAATGTCCCTGGAGCCCGGCAAGGTGACCAAGGGCGTCGTTCTGCACGAGTTGATGCACGCACTCGGCTTCCACCACGAGCACTGCCGCAGCGACCGCGACGACCACCTCTGGGTCCACAACCACAACATTAAGCCAGGTGCAATGTATGACCATACAAATTCAATTTAGTTACAGGTGCACGATGAATGTAGAGTTTGTTTTTACAGTTTTTTGGAATTCATTGGTCAGAAATTCTCCACAATGAATGCACCATATTCATAATATAGCTTTTGCATGATTTGCAATGCAAGTGTGTTGAGTGCCATTGGCTACACGTGATGATAATGCATAATGATTAATATAGATGTTTACAAATGCAGCTGATGATGAACCACGAACCCCCAGTCCACCAACCGCTCTAAACCCTCTGTCATTGCAAACCACCAGCCATGCGTCACTGTGTGCCTGCAGGTTACTCTGCATTATCCCAATGTGAAATGTTCAACTTAATGTGAGTGTAATTTAATGATATTAAAGGCACGTGTATATTTCATCTTATTTTCAGACTGGGTCGATGCAATTGTGAAAACAACAACAAATGGTCACAATTTAACCACCCCCTATGACTACAGCTCTATCCTTCACTATGGCGCGTAAGTGTTTAGTTTTCGCGTTTGAATTGCACTAACGTCTCACATTGACACCTGTGGATGATTTGCAAGATCTATGCATGTTTACTTGTGTTTGAATTGAAATCTTATTTTTGTGGTATTAAAGAAAACATTTACAACCGCGAGATACTATAGATATGAAGGTATTTACTTCTGTACTAACTTCAAATGACACGTGATGATGACAGCTTCGTGCTATACATGTAGCATGAGGTCATATAAATGTTTTACAGTATTACACTCCAGATGAATCATAAGAATTATAAATGTATCAATTGTTCATTATTAGCATTGTTCTTCTTGGTTATTTCGGTAAAGTCACGTAGAATGGAGATAAAATAATAAAAATAAAACGTAATAAAATAAAAAATAAAAAAATTCTCACGACGTTTCGGCCACAACACAAGTAGCCTTCTTCAGGTGAAGGAACAGGACTGTCTAGAAGACAGCGCTAGAGTGAGCACAGCCAAGCAAGGGCCGCGTCTTTTAAGTTGTGTGGACGGAATTAACATATGAATCGGGCGCCCCCCGCCCCCCTCTCATCACCTCCGGAGGTGGGGTTGGGCAATATGCCAATGCATATGTTAATTCCGTCCACACAGGTTAAAAGACGCGGCCCTTGCTTGGCTGTGCTCACTCTAGCGCTGTCTTCTAGACAGTCCTGTTCCTTCACCTGAAGAAGGCTACTTGTGTTGTGGCCGAAACGTCGAGATAATTTTTTTCATTTTTTATTTTATTATGTTTTATTTTTATTATTTTATCTCCATTCTACGTGACTTTACCAAAAGAACCAATAAGATTAATCCCTGCAGTCACGAAAGCTTTAAATCGAAATTTATTAGCATTGTTTTACACATTTTACTCTCACAATAGAAGAGCACTCTGGTTATTTTTTGTATTAAACAACCACTGAAAATAAATTATACTAATGTTGATTTTCTCTGGGGCTTTTATCCTTGTGATCACCTCAAAATTAATTTCTCCAGAACACAAAGGGACTCATAAGTGTACACTGCAAACATCCATGAAGTATAATTGAGATGAATGCCCAGAATATGTCGTTCAAATTAGACCATGGTTTTACACTGATGCTGTTTTTGGCAACTTGCCACCCACTACACATCAGAGGCTGCACTCTTTGAATTATTTTGTTTATTCAACAATTAAGATAAAAACATCACTTAAGCATGTGAACCGTGCTCATAGTCCTCAACAAGGCTTTGAAATTACGGCTGAGATGATGCACCAATGAAAATCGATGTTTGACTAAAATAATACCGACATCAATTGTCCTGCTCAATAATTTATTAATTTCGTTATGCAAATTGCATGTAAATTAATTGTGCAGGCATTACAGGGGTTTGCGGATAGCATAACCACTAAACCATTGGGTTGAATCCCTCTGTGTAAAGACATTTTATGAGCATGAGCCTTTGTTCTTCCAGAACTGCAGGTTCTAAAGATGGGCACAGCCCAACTTTGAGTCCCAAGGACACGAGGAACATGCATCGCTTTGGGGGTGGCCACACTCTGAGTGACGGGGACGTCTTGAAGATAATGAAAATGTACGACTGTGCCATGGCCCCACAACAATCTGTTATGGTACCAGTGCTATGGAACGGGCCGTCTTCTACAGGTATACAGAGTTTGAGTTTGAAAGTAAAAAAACTGTTTGTTAAATATTTGTCCAGAGGGAGGAAAAACATCTCATGAAATAAAAATGTTCCATTGCTCTTTTGAGCACTGGGTTTTGATCATCTTCAGTGCATGTAAAATGTGAAGTTTAATGGGCAGGGCCCAGTGATTCCATGGGGCAGCCATTGTTGTGGTACTCAGTTTGGGCACTCATTTGACGAAACCCATGCGTGTTGTCTGTGCAAACCCAGATGTAGATATTAATTTGTGTAGTGATAGTCTGGTTGTGTTGTGGAGGATTATGTGGTGATGGTCTGGTTTGTGTTGTAGAGGATTGTGTGGGGATGGTCTGGTTTGTGTTGTAGAGGATTGTGTGGTGATGGTCTGGTTTGTGTTGCAGAGGGTTGTGTGGGGATGGTCTGGTTTGTGTTGTAGAGGATTTTGTGGGGATGGTCTTTTTTGTGTTGTAGAGGATTGTGTAGTGATGGTCTGGTTTGTGTTGTAGAGGATTTTGTGGTGATGGTCTGGTTTGTGTTGTAGAGGATTGTGTAGTGATGGTCTGGTTTGTGTTGTAGAGAATTGTGTGGGGATGGTCTGGTTTGTGTTGTAGAGGATTGTGTGGGGATGGTCTGGTTTGTGTTGTAGAGGATTGTGTAGTGATGGTCTGGTTTATGTTGCAGAAGATTGTGTGGGGATGGTCTGGTTTGTGTTGTAGAGGATTTTGTGGGGATGGTCTTTTTTGTGTTGTAGAGGATTGTGTAGTGATGGTCTGGTTTGTGTTGCAGAGGATTGTGTGGGGATGGTCTGGTTTGTGTTGTAGAGGATTTTGTGGGGATGGTCTTTTTTGTGTTGTAGAGGATTGTGTAGTGATGGTCTGGTTTGTGTTGTAGAGGATTGTGTAGTGATGGTCTGGTTTGTGTTTTTTAGGACGGGCATTTAAGGAAGCAGGGATTTTCCACAGCCACACAGTAGACAGCCAGGTCGGGGTCTGGATGAAGGTAAGAATATTAACATACAGCAGCGTGCTCTAATTATGCATTTATTAGCAAATATGTGTGGCTTTTAAATGACTAATTATATTGAAGCATATCTTATTCCAATTCTAAAACATTCGAAATAGCATCCTTGTGCCCTGAAATGCGAGAATGCAGTAAATATGTATACAGTGAGGGAAAAAAGTATTTGATCCCCTGCTGATTTTGTACGTTTGCCCACTGACAAAGAAATGATCAGTCTATAATTTTAATGGTAGGTTTATTTGAACAGTGGGAGACAGAATAACAACAACAAAATCCAGAAAAACGCATGTCAAAAATGTTATAAATTGATTTGCATTTTAATGAGGGAAATAAGTATTTGACCCCTCTGCAAAACATGACTTAGTACTTGGTGGCAAAACCCTTGTTCGCAATCACAGAGGTCAGATGTTTCTTGTAGTTGGCCACCAGGTTTGCACACATCTCAGGAGGGATTTTGTCCCACTCCTCTTTGCAGATCTTCTCCAAGTCTCGATTTAAAGCTTTCGTGACTGCAAGGATTCATCTTTGGTTATTTCGGTAAAGTCACGTAGAATGAGAAGAAAATAATAAATTGATAAAATAAAATAACACAATAAAATTCTCACGACGTTTTGGCCACAACACAAGCGGCCTTCATCAGGTGAAGGGATGAGACTGTCTGGAGGACAGCGCTGGAGCTTGGCCGTGTGTTTTGGGTCATTGTCATGCTGGAATACCCATCCACGACCCATTTTCAATGTCCTGGCTGAGTGAAAGAGGTTCTCACCCAAGATTTGACGGTACATGGCCCCGTCCATCGTCCCTTTGATGCGGTGAAGTTGTCCCGTCGCCTTAACAGTAAAACACCCCCAAAGCTTAATGTTTCCACCTCCATGTTTGACGGTGGGGATGGTGTTCTTGGGGTCATGGGCAGCATTCCTCCTCCTCCAAACACGGCGAGTTGAGTTGATGCCAAAGAGCTCCATTTTGGTTTCATCTGACCACAACACTTTCACCCAGTTGTCCTCTGAATCATTCAGATGTTCATTGGCAAACTTCAGACGGGCATGTATATGTGCTTTCTTGAGCAGGGGGACCTTGCGGGCGCTGCAGGATTTCAGTCCTTCACGGCGTAGTGTGTTACCAATTGTTTTCTTGGTGACTATGGTCCCAGCTGCCTTGAGATCATTGACAAGATCCTCCCGTGTAGTTCTGGGCTGATTCCTCACCATTCTCATGATCATTGCAACTCCACGAGGTGAGATCTTGCATGGAGCCCAGGGCAAGGGAGATTGACAGTTATTTTGTGTTTCTTCCATTTGCAAATAATCGCACCAACTGTTGTCACCTTCTCACCAAGCTGCTTGGCAATGGTCTTGTAGCCCATTCCAGCCTTGTGTAGGTCTACAATCTTGTCCCTGACATCCTTGGAGAGCTCTTTGGTCTTGGCCATGGTGGAGAGTTTGGAATCTGATTGAATGATTACTTCTGTGGACAGGTGTCTTTTATACAGGTAACAAGCTGAGATTAGGAGCACTCCCTTTAAGAGTGTGCTCCTAATCTCAGCTCGTTACCTGTATAAAAGACACCTGGGAGCCAGAAATCTTTCTGAATGAGAGGGGGTCAAATACTTATTTCCCTCATTAAAATGCAAATCAATTTATAACATTTTTGACATGCATGTTTCTGGATTTTCTTGTTGCTATTCTGTCTCTCACTGTTCAAATAAACCTACCATTAAAATTATAGACTGATAATTTATTTGTCAGTGGGCAAACGTACAAAATCAGCAGGGGATCACATACTTTTTTCCCACACTGTACAATCAGTTAAGTTGTACACACAATTTGATGAAGGTCTCTTCTGCCGTGGCAAAAAACCTCTTGCCACAGCAGCTCTCTCGCCTACTTCAGCATGTTTTCTTGCTGTGGTTGTTCCACCTGATGAAGATTGCTTGTGTTGTGATCGAAACGTCGTGATTTGTTTTATTTAATTTTATTTCTACCTATGTGACTTTACCGAAATAACCAAAGAGTATGGATTCCTGCAGTCACGAAAGCTTCAAATCAACATTAAATGCTACCCAGTACACATACTCTGATAGGTTTTCCAATTTTGTCTGAGTAAGCTTCGACATTTTTGCAGCATAAATATTTATTCCTAATTGCATATTTATTACGTAAATTTTTACACGACCTTTGTTTTGCTAGTTTTTACATTGAGTCCCACTTTGCCAGCTTCCTTACGAAGTTCTATAATTTTCTGTAATACATTTTCATCGGTCACGGTATTTTGTCTGTTTTACATGATTATCCAAAGCCAAAAAATGGAGCGGAGAACAAAAGCAAAGGTATTATATTATTTTACTGATACGCCCTATTTTTTCAATACTTACTAATTTAGGGGCCTATTGCAATCTACTACTGGATGGAGTGATTGCCATGGGGGCTTGTTTGAATAATGCTGGTGAGTGTGGGATTTGCTCAGGACTGATTCAGATATGACTCACCGCTCATGGAAGCTTTTCTAAATGTGATTATTATCATAGTTGCAGAGTCCAGGCCTAAACTCATAATTCCAATTGATCAGGAACAAACAGAACCATTGAAGGTCTAATCAGTAATAGTTTATACATTTCTTGAATGGCGCAAAGTTAAATAGAACTTTGGGAAAGAGAGGGTGGGAGAGAATTCCCAATTTGAGCAGTGCGAGGGAAGTAGGAGAAAGAGAGTTGTTTTGCAGAGAGTGTGGATGGGACAATACGAGGAATGTGAGCAATGGTGATTGAAGCTCGTGGGAACAGGATCCATGGTAGGAGTGAAAGAAGAATGATGAGGTGACTAGGCACTGGTGAGCGAGTGACTGAAGTCATTCAGTGAGTGGTGGATGGATTCACAGCCCAGGACACAAATTATTGTGTCACTGCTCTGTTTGCTCAAATTATGAGATGCACTGTGGCAATTGGAGTGATGCTTCACGGTGCGGCTCCTTATGGCAGTATTTGCATGTGGCTGTAATTGTTCTGATCTTACTTCGTCACCACCATAGCCAAGATGAATGGAGATCTGTCAGTACAGCGTGAAGCTCTATTTCATTGTCTGTGCAGTGTGAAGTTGTCTCATTCTCCATGCAGTGTGAAGTTGTCTCATACTCTGTGCAGTGTGAAGTTGTCTCATTGTGCAGTGTGAAGTTGTCTCATTGTCTGTGCAGTGTGAAGTTGTCTCATTGTCTGTGCAGTGTGAAGTTGTCTCATTGTCTGTGCAGTGTGAAGTTGTCTCATACTCCGTGCAGTGTGAAGTTGTCTCATCATCGTGCAGTGTGAAGTTGTCTCATTGTCTGTGCAGTGTGAAGTTGTCTCATTGTCTGTGCAGTGTGAAGTTGTCTCATACTCCGTGCAGTGTGAAGTTGTCTCATCATCGTGCAGTGTGAAGTTGTCTCATTGTCTGTGCAGTGTGAAGTTGTCTCATTCTCTGTGCAGTGTGAAATTGTCTCATACTCCATGCAGTGTGAAGTTGTCTCATTCTTTGTGCACAGTGAAGTTGTCTCATTATCTGTGCAGTGTGAAGCTGTCTCATTCTCTGTGCACAGTGAAGTTGTCTCATTCTTTGTGCACTGTGAAGTTGTCTCATTCTTTGTGCACTGTGAAGTATTCTCTATCTTGTGCAGTGTAAAGCTGTCTTATTCTATCATCCAGGACCCACCATTCGTGGAGACGTCGCACTCAGTCGGTCGTGTCACAGAGTGATCCCATGGCCCAAGCACCACGATGGGAAGATATACATCCCCTACGAGGTATCTTCTGGCTTCTGTAAGTGATGCTTCCATCTGTGAGACTCTCGCATACACTAGGTTATGGGCCACATCGTGTGTATTACCTATGCTGATGACTGACGTATGAGTCAGATACTTAGTAAACTATGTGCTTTTTCTAATAACGTGTTCTTCCTCCTAGTGCAGTAGAGCAGAATGTCTGCTTATGAGGTTCGCACTGCACACTAGAGCCATTAGTCACATACATAGTGATGCAAGCATGACGATGCATGCAAACAATGAAGAAATTAGCATTTAAAGGCTCACATTTTGCACTGAACTAATTGAGAGACAGACTCCAAGGCTTAGGAACACATAAGTCACTAAACATTTCCATCCAGTACCGGCACTCAGGATGCCCTACAGAGTAGAGAATCCTGAGGGTCAGCATCTGAGTAAGTGGTGGCAGTGTCTGTAAGCCCAGAAAGTGCTTCCACTGAAATATATTATCCTGGGCACGGCCCCTCAGAAATCTGAGGATATAATCTCATATTAACAGTGCACTTTACTGTTAATGACAAGCAGGCAAGTGTCTCTTTGTTTCTGTTTTTATTCGTGTCTCTCCGTGATCGTCTCGCTTCATGTCTTTGTTTCTCTGTCTGCCTCCACGTTTCATTGTTTCTCTGTGTCTGTTTTTGTTTGTCTTTCTTGTCTTTGTTTTGTTTCTCTCCTTGCTTCACAGCGAACACCTGCAACTTCTCTGTGCCCACATCCAGCCCTTTCCCCACGCAGTTCCACTGGCCTCCCCCTCTGTAAAACCATTTTGTGCCACCCCCTGACAGTGTCTTCTCAAATGTCAGTACATCTGAGTATGTTCTCTAATGTGACTACAGACAGGCCCCGGTTACTTCTGGTAATGGCTATTGGGATTTCACCAGTAAGGCTTTATCATTATAAGAGTAAACAACAATGGCATTTCAAGCCGAGTGAAGATGCATTGTATGAAGTGTCAAGGAGATACTGAGGGGAAATGGCTGTGCTGTTCAGAAATGAATGAAGGATTCTACACTCCATGCTGCATGCTTGAAACCTGACATACACTGTTACTGATTAAAATGTTTCTACGAAATCACTAATCTCATTAGCATTGGAACAGTCCCAGTTTCTCTCTCATTGGGGGGCAGTAGAGCTGTTGGGTGGATGGCCTCCATAGCAGTGAAGGAGAGTGAACTGGGGTTGGCAAAGGGACATTTTGTGGTGCAGGGCCCACCTGAGGACCCCCGAGTGCTGGTCCTGCATGGGAATGTTTTGTGCAATGATGTGGTGCGACATTGTTTATCTGCTTGTAATTTACAATGTCTGTGGTGGTATACTAGTTCACGCAATGCATTATGAAACCAGCCACCGAGGTTCTGTTCCCAACCATGGCTAACATCAGTGGCTAGTGATATCTAAACAACTCTGACCTCCACGCTATTTCACCAACCCTCACTGACCAGCATGGTGAAGCATGGTGAAACAACCGCTATGACCATCATGGCATAGAGAGGCCTTCATCCAGTAGTGGATTATCAAAGAATTGTAAATATTATTTTATTTCAGTTGTTTACCTGTAAATTAACACATGACTGTACTATAGTTAATTAGTTGCACTTCAGATTCTGGAGTTTAATTGTTTATGATCAGCTTTATGAAGGTGCTTGAACACAGTGTCATTGGCCCTCATAGCAAAAGGTTTGGAATGCACCAGAACTTAGTGATGCAATTAACAAGCGCTGTTACCAGATCAATCACCTTCACGTGCCACCCCCATTCCACCTTGTCACAGACGCTCATGACAAAGAAGCCATCACAAAGGCAGTGCAGGAGTTTGAGAAGAAAACCCACATACGGTTCCACCCTCGTGGCAACGAAAGGGACTTTGTTCACATCCAAGCCTTGGATGGGTGAGATAAATACATGGCATCCACATTGATCCATTCACATGTCTTCAAACCCAATAATATCAGAGTGAAATGCTTGCTTTATAATGTACTGGGTGTTGTTTGGCTTCATGTCCAACGATTCGCTCTACATGCTGTGAGCTTCTTCAGAACATAATCGAGCAGCTCAAGTGACAAAGCAAATAATAGCACCACCAACAGCAGCAGCAGCCTGAGTTTTTAAATAATTGTGGGGGAACTTGAGCTGCTCCATTCAGTTCCTAAAGAGGCTCCCAACAACGCAATGGAGAGCCATACAGCACAACAGATATTGCTTATGTAGTTGTACATTTTAAGAAGCATTCACGTATACCATACCACCCATGTGTAATAAGTGGCTCCGTCACGGCAGAACTTTATTAAATATTTATTCAAGGTTCTTGCACAGTCACGAGGACTCTCGTTCCCGTGGATGCCGTTGTTCTCCGGCGTAGCTGCGCTTGCCCCGCGCCACGTGGCGTTCACCCCGCTCTCAACCGCACCGCTGACTGGCGGCTGGAGGTCGAGCCGCCACGTGGCTGGTGGAGATGGCGGGGCAGTAGTGACGGGGAGCTCCTCTTCGATCTTCAACCACCAACCCCTAGCCTTACGCTACCGCTGCTTATATTCTCTTTGGCGAGGCTAAGCCCCGCCTCTGGCCACGCCCCTCTTAGAACCTTCGAGAACGTTCCAGAGGCTTCCATGCTAGCTCTGCCCATTAACCTTTCCCCCAGATAAAACCCTACTACTGATAAGGTGTGGACTGTACGACAGTGTGTAAAGTATAACCCCTCAATTATGCAGGAGATGGCGCTCGCTTGTTACACATGTATGATGTGTATTGCTGTGGTGTACATTGCAGATGCAGCTAATAGGGCACAATATGATGTTCTTGTCTTTTGTAGTTTCGTGTGCTGTATTTTAGAATGATAATTTAATCTCGACACCCTGGGTTTTGAGAAATAAGGTGATTTTTAACCAATGTATAAAATATATATTTATAAAGGTGTACTATGTAAATGCATTAAACACATAGTAAAGCCCTCTCTATATCTGGCATTGCCTGCTAAAGTGCTGGGCGAGCTATTCTTTTGTCAATGTCTTGATTTCTTTTCATTTTCTCCCATTGGAAGATAATGTTATGATTGGCTATATATCAAGAGGCTCCACAACTACAAACATTGCCATTGTAAATGTGGTACCAAAGGTCTAGAAGTCTGATATAAACTCCACAAAAATCATATTCTTGGTTCTTTATTGTTTCCCTTCTACGTGACTTTACCGAAAGAACCAACAATATGAATCCCTGCAGTCACAAAAGCTTTAAATCAAAATTTGTAGATTTGTTTAAACTTACTTATAAACACTTTCTTAATCTCACTACATCCTTCAAGTATGAATTCTTCCCTTCCGCAATCACAGTGCATGAGCCCAGGCTGCCGGTAAAGTTACCCTCAGACAAAACACCTGTTCCAGGTGGCCTCCTGCTCAAACTTTACCAAGCACTTGGCCACCATCTGTTTCAGTGCTCCTAGAATGCTCAGTCAGTGCTGGCTCGCTTCCGATGGAGGAGGGCTTGTTATTTTGAATACTCAAACATGGAAGAGCCACCAACATGTCACAACCAATCACTACATCTCATTTATAAACACGGATCACAAAATATTCATGACATCCATAGCAATCCATCTCTACCAAATACTTCTGTCAATCATTCACGAGGAATTATTAAAGGGACGCACTCAACCAGCCACAACAGAAATCTCATTAACTCAATCGCATGAGTACAGCATTTCATTACCGAGGCATATGACATCACCCTTAGTAAAAAAACATTAATACCTACCATCTGATCACCCTGTTGGATCAATTTTGAAAGACCTTTGACTGTTATCCCTTCATATGTGGTATTTTCTTGTAACTTTTGTTTATTCCCATGTGCCAATTACTCAATACTCAAATTTTCTGAACATGCACATCTAAGACCTTCCTGATAATTCATATTGAGACTAATTGAGGCATTCGTGGGTTAAGGAACTTGGCGTTTTTTTTCTTATCAGGTGATAAGGCCTCCCTTTTTATCTGCCATGCGGCATCTAGACCCAGTAAACCTCTGTCAACTACTGTGCTCCTTTGCTAGAACAGCAGAAATTTCAATTAGCCTCGGCTCCCCCAAGATTAATATCTCACAAGGCACTTGACAAGGATAGCTGCTCTCAACCATCCAAAACCCAAGGGCTCCTTCCACCATGAAATAATCAGAATCATTACCATCATCAACCGTGATCAATTGACTGCTGATTGAAGGCCTCTCCAAGTCGCCAAGTCCTGCAATGTACATAAGCAGATTTAATCGCTCCATGTCTTGGGTGGTCCTTTCGTATGCATTTAATTTATTCGCCAACATCCTGCTATTATTCTCGGTGCTCAGGCTGGGGTTGTCTGTGTGATGAGTGGTGAGTGAATGGGGCTCGGTGCTCAGGCTGGGGTTGTCTCTGCAGGAATTGGTCATTCCTCGGCCGTCAGGGCGGGGACCAGGCACTGTCCCTGGAGCCCGGCAAGGTGACCAAGGGCACGGTGCTACACGAGTTGATGCACGCGCTCGGCTTCCATCACGAGCACTGCCGCAGCGACCGCGATCAACATGTCTGGGTGCTGAGTGACAATGTTAAAGAAGGTGCGACGACGTTTGCTCTACTTTAATAAGAGTGAAAAGACAGACATAATGGTAGAAATGCAGGAAGATGTAAAATATTTCCATCAGATACCGCAGATCACAAGTGAACCCAGGCAGGGTGGTGCATTGCGCTCACGATGTGTGTGCTTGTTTTTCACCACTTGTTTTGCACCACTTTAGTAGTTTGTTGCTTGCCAGTAGTTCCGTCAATAATTCCCTATTACTACATCAACACATTGCTTATCCTTGATAAATAAAATTGTCTGGAAAGCCCCTCAAGTGTTTTAGGAGGGTAACACTGCAGTTTTGACAGGATTGATAAAATCAATTTGGCACATTTAATGTATAGTAGACACTCGATTATCCACGCTAATGACGGGAAGGACGACCGAGGATAATTAAAAATCGTGGATAATCCAAAAATATAAGTCTACCGCAGATCTCTATGTCAAAACCCACTACCATATATAGGTATAAATTATGTTTAAGTTAAGACAATTGAGTTTGTTAATAAACAAAACTTATATTTGTAGTAAATAATGTATTGATCTTGTTTTATTGAAAAAGTCCATTAAAAAACACTCACTTTAACAGGTTTGGAAAATTACGTATAATATCCAGTTTCTGATTTAAAGTAAAAACAAGACACTTCCATTTCTCTGCCATCGCAAAGTTTCGTAAATTAAAACTCACAAAATGAATTATCGGATAAATCATTCAAAATGAAGCGCAACTGACGATTTAGATTGTTACTCTTTTGATTTAGAATGAATAATAATGATCGACCGATGCACGTGCTCAGTGATAACACTTTCCTGCTGCCGACCAATAAGTGGACAGCAGAGCCACACCAATCAAAATCAATTAAAATCTGCTCACTGTTGTAAAGATATGCAACGACTGAACTTTACTGTAAAGGCGATCACATGGGTTTCGGATTAACTGGAGCACATATTTGTTAGGTTGAAGCATATGACTTGTAATACACATTTCCAAGAATAGTAATGTATAAGTGTTTTTAGATTATTAATTTGGGCTTACGGGAAAATCCATGAGTTATTCATTTATGTAAAGACATCTCAGGTGGACGGTCAATTCGAAAATCATATAAACCGCACGTGGATAATTGAGTCTACTGTACTTTTTGACATTTTTACATCGATTAGACTTCATATTTTTATTATAATTTGTGTGTAATGTATTAGACTGTTGAACTTTACAATTGGAATTACATCTGCTGAATTAAACAATATCTTAAAAAGCACTCATTGTCAGAAAAAAGTGACATTTTTTTCATGGCGTGGCTGTCTCTACGGATGCAATTTTTGTGTTCCAGAATGGAAACATGCCATCGTGCCAAAAACATCAGCGGAGCATGACACAGTCACCCCCTACGACTACAGCTCCATAATGCACTACAGCATGTATGACAGCTCATCTTTCAGCACCAGCCATGATCTATCCACTGCTGGAAAAAGGCCTCCCTGAGATGCCGGCTTCTCTCACTACTTGTGATGTACCAATACATATATAGCTCCTGTACAAGAGCTGATTTAACCACTCCATCTCTACATTGGGCATGCTGTTGGGGGTGTTTTACTCCGTTTGATGACGCCGTGGTTAGCGTTATTACCCTTTGGGCCCACGCTCACTTACGTTGTCAATATGATGTCTCTATTTTGGGTTGTTCTCTGGGCCATTCATGCACCTCTCCTCACCAGTTCTGTTTTGTTTGATTTGTCATTGTCCGTGTTTCTGAACCATATGTCAGAGGAAGTTATGTGCACTGATTAAACCTTCCTTTCTTCGGAGCATTGCTATGTTGCTTTTCATGATCAAGTCTAGTTTTCAAGAAGCACTGAGCCTATGTCACCATTACAAATGTATTTCGAAATGATTGCTAAAAAACTTTACATTTGTAGTGGAACAATCCTATAGATATTACCTAACGTATAAGGGAATAGAGGGGCTATATGGTAAAGGATCTGGCACCACAACGGGGAACGACAGGGACGAGAACCCCGACTCATGGTGCTGAATGTGAACACCAACAGCACCACTGAGTGGGTAGAGGCCCGCCCCTACACCTCGTGGGTGCGACTTGAGCGTGATCAGTGGACAGACACAAGGCTGTCAGTTAAGTGAGTTGAAGGGCAGTGAAGGTGGTTGTGCATTCAAGGGCAGATCAAAGGGGTGGAAGGGCAGGTGAGGGTCAGTTAAGTCTGGAGAGGAAGAAAGAGCGGCTGGGTTGTGAGACCTCTACATCACGTTGTGTAATAATAACAGAAATGTCACAGTGAAGTAAACACGCTACCAATTGTTCCAAGTGTGGAACAGTATATGTTATTAAATTGTCATACCAATTTGGTGTCAAACGTACACTATTCTCTGAGCCTTCTCTTATAGTTTATATATAGTAAAATGTAGGTGACGTTACACATGCACGAAATGTAATAAACCGTATCATGGCAGAACATGTAGTGGAAGAGCCTCCATAAGACGTGTTTGTATGGAAGTGTGCTAAAAGGATGACAAAGAGGTGGACTAGAGCAGTGTGGAATGCTTTTGGAAAATTTGAACTTGATAATGAAGACTAACTTAACAATGTGCAGAGAGAAGATTGTTTCAAATCAGTGCATGCTACCTCCGATGACTTGGTTCAGACATATGGTCATTTACAAATAAAACAACAAAAAAGAAAAAGTGTGCAAGGTAGGATGGAGATATGCTTGCTGGGACTGATATTGAGAGGAAGAGGAGCGCATGGATTAGACAACATGTGTAAGCTAATTATATAATTGGAATGTTTAAGCCAGTGAGCAGGACACGTCATAAAGAATGGAATGCATCTGAGAGTACATCCACCGACGAGATGGAGAGATGAAATCAGCTCATGTGTTGGATTATTACATCGCAGAATTATGAGAGATGGCAGGGCTTGGAGAAGCTTTCAGTCATGATCAATGTAGCAGTGGATGGAACATGGCGGATGATGATTACTTTTCTTGTAACAGTTCAGCATTCAATGTTACATTTCATAATACAGTGGATATTTTAAAATTATATTTGTCATCACAGTATCGCTTATTTAAAGTGGGCATAAATATTACCCTTGGTTCAAATAAAAAAAATGTTTGAGGTGGCAGTTATGAATTGCTATATATCTGAATGTTATATAGAAAATATCAGAATTACTCGAAATCTGATGATTTGTTATGTAAAAGATATGATTGAGCTCCCAGAATAGTTTTCTATTTATCAACTGAAACTTTTGTCAAAGTGATTGGACAGGCCTATTTAATAAGGCGTTATATGATTGTGTACAGACAGTTCCTGTCTGTTTTTATAACTGTTCCTCGATAGCCTCTGCAATCAGAAGGCCAACCACCAGCGCTGTTTTTACTCATAGGCCTTAGGCCCTCATAAGTTGTAGGCCCTCTGCGGTATTCATATGCAACCTCACCACGCTGCACTATATGCGCTTACGTAACTAACGCAAACATTTCTGTGTACTGAAATGTATTTATATGATTTTTGGGAGCATTTCCGTGAGGTCAGATTTCCTTAAGTTGCGTCTTCCGCAACCCGGGGACTGTCTGTATACTGGATTGAAGTGGAGTGTGGTATATTAGAAAAAACACAGTCACGTCCTTATGAGAGACTATCGGACTATTTTTTGCAAGCATTCAATGTCTTAATATTGTTCTGTCTTGCTAACACACTGCATGCTGCTCTAAGCTCATGGTATTGGATCGATTGGACATGGGCTTCATCGTGTTTTGTCATGCAGTCCACTTTATGTTTTTTCCCAGGATGGCGGGCTCCGTGGATGACCACAGTCCAACCATCATCCCCAAGAACCCTGTGCACATGCTGCACGTGGGACACGGCAACTCTCTGAGCGCCTGGGACGTCAGGAAAGTGCAGATGCTGTACGGATATGAGATGGATGCACCGCTTCCTCCTTTACGGCAGACGGCGCGGCCTGATCACCCAGCCTCAGGTGTGGCACTGAGAGGGGCGGGTACCTTCCTAGGAGCTTACCTGACTTTTCAGAGCTTCAGGTATCCCATACATGGCTTATCATATGAGTGGAGATTGTTTGAAGAGTCATGATCTTGTTACAGTCATACCGTCTTTAATCAAATATGTTGGTTTCCATTATGAATATTTGTATACAGTGGCTACATTTTGCTTTCAAGAGCCTGTTTGTTGAATCAGTTGACACTGAAATGTATTGTGTTGCATTATTTAACAAACTATCGAACAACCACCTTCATGTGATGGGCCCAATTCATGACAAATATTGCATTACGATTTTCCCAAAAAATCCATCAGAGGTGAATCTCTAAAAAGGCCATTTCTCAACATGTAGAGAATTAGTTGCCAATTTAGCAGAATGAACGTGGCACCATTCCTCACCAAATACAATAGCAAATCATTAGCTAGGAGAGGATTGGTGTTATTGCATCATAATACAATCATCAGCGGAGAATGGAGCCCACTAAACAGGCTCCCTCTATACAACTTGCCCACACTCACACCCACAAACGCAAATGTGCGTGTGGGGGACTCCATCCCCTATGGGGGTTCGGACACAAAGCCCAAAGCCACAATGGCTTTGCGCTTTAATCACAGCACAAGCAATGATGAAGCTGCTGTAGCTGATTATGTTTATCATGAAAAATAGGCTGTTGATAATGGCTCAAATGATGACGTTAATAATGACAATACAACAACAGCCGCCATTCGTCACTAAGTTAGAGTGACATCACGACGGCACTTGTGCCAGGCTAGATGCACTACGAGGCCACATGAAGTAATGAAAGCTCACCGACAGGTCACGGGACAGACCCTGCTGCCATGAGTTGGCTGACTGAGATGGCTGGCAGATGTACCATCTGTGCTCCCTACCTTGCCAACTTGCCTTATTTTAGCCATCTGGCACTGTGCTCGTTGTTGTGAACATTGCTCCTCTGCCCTCCAATTGCCCAGTAACATCCTTCATGAGCCTCCTCCATTGAGG